AGTCAAAATTTTTTTAAAAATACAATTTTGCTAACATATAAATGCTATGAAAATTTACCAGCAAATAAATGATAATAAATACAAATAATCATTAACAATTATCAGTTATGTTAAGTTTGTGTGCTACAAAACAAATTTTAGAATTTCAAAGAATTTAATTTTTTGTTTTTTCCTTTTCTTCTTCTACTTTTATTGATTAAAAAAGAATGAAGAAATTTGATTTGCTATTAATCGAAAATTTTAATTGTTTACATTAATCAAAAATTTGAATCAGCAATTAATTAGAAATTTACTTTGTATATTAATTAAAACAATATCATGAAATTGTTTCTAATACAAATTCATCCATTTATTCAGCGTTTCTTAGTAACACTAATAAATTTTCCATTTCATAAAATTGTTAATATTTATTTCATTCCAAAATTACTTCCATATCTTTATCGCTCTATTTCATTTTTTAACTGTTTAAAATTCAAAAATCTGAAACAAATGAATTTAATTAAAAAGTACTGAATGTATGGAAAATTTAAAAAAAAAAGGTAAATAAAAGGTAACTAACTAGCAGTAATGATTTTTATTTAATAAAGAGAGAGAGAGAGAGAGAGAGAAAGAAAAGGTAATGTTGAATGGATTAGCTGAAAAAAGAAAAAGAAAGTAAGCTTATATAATTTTGAATAAAATTATTTAATGACAGTTCAATTCTTTTCATAAATTAAAAACAATTGCCTTTTTGACAAAGTCTTTTTCATTTTTCATTTTTTTTTCACCATCATTGCAATTTTTCTTTGATTAAAAAATATTGCTAAAAATAGTTTAATTTTTAAATGCATTAAATTAGCATACCTCTTTTCTGGGTAGTATTTGTTAACTGTATAGGAACTATTTATTATTGAGCTATTTGCTAATTGTATAGGAATTATTTGTTATTGAATTATTTGCTAAGTAGTTCAAAAAAATATATATTATTTCATCTATTCATTAGTTAATTGTTAATTGTATAGGAATTATTTGTTATTGAATTATTTGTTAAGTAGTTCAAGAAAAAAATATATGTAAATATATGTTTCATCTATTCATTAGTTAATTGCTTATTTGCTTAGCAAATAAATGCTGATAAATTGATGAATTCTCATTCAGCATTTTCTATGTTATCGTTTGCTTTTTTTTTGTTCGAATCGATATTAACTTCATCAATACCAAATTTGAACCTATCCATCCATATATGTATATTCCCAATCAAATGATACGATTTGTTGTATCTTATTACATTTCTTATTCACATTCCCACAACACATAAATCCAAAGTAGATGCAATCTTTGAGCGCCATTAATTGACCTTTGACCTTTTTTATAAGGAGACTAAACTATTCGGTAGCAACAGTAGCAAATATAAATTGGATTTAGATTCGAAAAATTCTTTAATCAATTTATTATTAACTCAAATTTTTATTTCAAAAATTTAAAATAAACAGAAAAAACTTCTCTCATTAAAATTTCAATAATTAAAACAAAAATTTGTTATTTATAATTAATTAATGAATCTATATAAAGTATAGATTCATTAATTATACTTTGTCTTTGTCCTTTTTTTCATTTAATTATCAAGAATTATTTGAGATTTTTTGTTTTCAAAAATTCTTTTCTATTTTTAAAAATTTACTATTATTTATAAACAGATCGCTTTATATCATTTGTTTTATTTAAATATTTCATTTAAGATAGAAAACACTTTCAAATTTGATAAGCTAACAGGAGTTTGATAAGCTAACATTAAATTTGATAATTTTTATTAAATTTGATAATTTATTGATAATTTTTTTTTTTTCAAATTTGATAAGCTAGCATTAACAAAATTATCACAATTTTTATCAAAATTTATTTAATATAATATTTATAGATATATTTTATCAAAATTATGTCATTTACATTCAAAGGTTATTTACTATCACAAATTATTATATAATTGTGCACTCATGTTGAAATGATTAGATGCAATCGGAATGTATCATGATATTCATGATAAAAGATTGCAATTGAGCGGAAGGAATGAATGGTAAAAGAAAGGGATAGATGTATTATATCGAAGGATAGAAGGTAAGGTGGGAGGGGAAAAGGAAGAGAAAAAGAAGTGGAAGAATGGATATGATATACCCTATTGATATTTATGATTGATATGGACAATGGTCAAACGATATCGATATGGTATTTTATTGTTGATGATATATGATTTATATCTAACGATCTTCTTTTGTATTTCAAATTTTCGTTTTCTTTTTTATTTTTATTTATTTATTTATTTATTTATTTATTTCTCTATCATATCTGTTTACATATATATGCTTTTTATATTGTCGAATAGGAAATGATTTTTTTTTTTTATCTTATCATTCGTTTCATATTGATATTCTTTCTTTCAATCATATCATATCATAATTTTCTTTTCTTTTTTTTGTTATTTAATTAATTACATTTTTAATTGTTAAATTTAATTATTAAAGATTTTACATTCTTTTAAACCATACAATTTATTTGAATTATTTTGTTTATTTTTTTAAAATTTTATTATAAAATAGAAAAATCAATTATGATTGAAATAATAATTAAATAATTTCATATCTAATAATAATTAATTATTTAGGTAAACAAATATTGTTTCGGTGCTATCTTCTTATAATTATTAAGTTTTGAATTTTTTCATTAGTTATTTGCTGATTGATTATTTGTTGTATGTATATAATTGATTAGAAAGAAAGAGAGAGAGTGAGAGCTGAGAGAGAAAAGAAGCCATTTTTATTTATTATGCCAACAGAGTATAGCAGGATAAATTTGACTATAATAATTATCATTATTATTCAATAAAAATAATCATGATATCATGATATAACTATCAATGGTTAATTAGTTCATTTTGATAATGATCAAAATCGAAAATATCATTGTCAAATAAAAATTTAAATACATTTGAAAATTCAAATGCTAATTATAAATACATATATCAGTAGTTAGTTTCGCTCATAATTTTCAATTGTAATGTTTCTCAGCGATTATATCGGCCAATTAATTTTAATTGGCAATAAAAAAAAAAGGAATGGTTTGAGAAGAAAAAATTAATTTATTTGAAATTTAATTTAAATTTTAAAACTTGATAAAATTATCATTTATCATTTTACAGGTTATATGTTATCTAATTTAAACATGGAAACATCCGAATTGGAATTAATTGAGAAAGATTTAGAATTCACTCAATACATTAATAATCAACAAAAAATTCTTCACTCTTATCATTCAACATCAAAACATATCAGCGGTAAAAAAAATTCAACATTACTTCTTTTTTTTGTATATAATATATCATATCATATCAGAACAGATCAGATCAGATCAGATCATCATTTAAAGGTATTAGAAAATAAATAAAGCATAGTTAATTTAATGGTAAATTTTGTTGTATTAATATAAAACTTTTATTTATTTCAATTTATTTTTAGTATGTATCATTTATAAATGAATCATATAATATTCAAGCAAAATAATAATCAATAACTCAATTACAGGTTAATAATTTTATTGATTTAAATTATATGAATAATGTTTAGGAATAAAAATAATAGTTAAACATTAAATTTGAATTATAGAATTAATTGATTATTGTTTCGTTCTTCTCTTTTTTTAGGAGGTTTTAATGAAGCTTTATCATCAGTATCCGCATCACCAATTTCATTCAATACAATTGATAATGGTGATAATATTAAGAAACATATCCATAATAAGGTATTATCTCTTTTCCTTTTTTTGAATTATCATTTTATCAATAGATGATATGATTTTGTAAGAAAGAAAATGAAAGAGAGAGAGAGAGGGAGAGAAAAAAAGAAAACTTATATGATAATGTAAAATTGTATTAATGAAACTGAGATTATCTAAATATAAATGTTTGAGGAAAGCTGTCAGCAACGAAAATTATCTCTTCATTTAAATTTCTTATTTTCTTTGATATCTCTTCATTTGAAAGTTAAAATAATAAAAGTGTTAGAAAAGAAAAAAAGAAAAGGAAAAAATATTTTAATTTAATTTAATCGTTTATTTCAGGTTTTTGTTGAGCTCTATGATTTAGATTTGCAAAAAGGTGGAGAATGGACGGAAATAGCTCGTTGGATTAAATATGAAGAGGTTTTTGTTTTTGTTTTCTTTTTCTGTTTTTAAAAACAATGATGTAAATGTTATCAATAATTATCAATAATTGTCAATGGTTATCACTGATAATTCTAATTATACTATAAATTTTTTTTTAATTTCAAATAGGATTGTTTGTTTAGAATTTCAAATTTTATTCATATTGGAATAGTATTTTTAAGAAATTTTAAATTTTATTCATATTCAAATAAGTACTTTTGAAATTTCAAATGTTTTCCAAAATTTATTTGCCAAATCAAAAAAATTAAGATAGTTAAATTTAATCGATAAAATTTGCATCAAAATTTATTTAGGATGTTGAAGGAACGGATCATCATTGGGGTCAACCACATGTTGCATTCCTTTCATTTCATGCTTTACTCTCTTTGCGAAAATTTATGCGAACAGGTTTATCCCTTTAATCAAATATGACATTTTATTTTTGTAAAATATTAATAAAATTAAATTAATTTTTAAGTTAATACTATAATATTAACCTGTAAAGGTATACAATAATTTATTGCACGTTTTTTTTTACTCTTAAAAAATAATTTCAAAAATTTTTTCCACGAAGGTTAATTTAAAAATTAATTTGATTTTGTTAATATTTAATATATTAAAATATAATTAATATATTTTAATTGAATTAATATATTTAAGGTATGATTTTAAATATAATTAATATATTTAAGGTATGATTTTACTTGACTGTAAAGCAAAAACATTTCTTGAAGTTTGTGATGAAGTAGCTAATGCAATGATATCTGAAGGAATCACTTGTAGACGAAGAGATATCATGCAAATTTTAGCAATGAAACAAGCGTAAGTTTATTATTTTCTTTTTAATTCTTTTTTTCCTGTGATTTAATAAAATGAATTGTTTAATACTACTCAAACTGTAGCAATAATTAAAGAGAAATTTTTAATTTCAAAATTTGCGCATCGAAATTTTTCTCATTTTAGACATCCATTATTACGTCGAATGACAGCGCTATCATTGGCTGGTTCAGTTTTCGATCGGCGTCCTGAATGTAATTTAATAGGCGGAAGTACAACGGATAATGCTAAATTACATATAGGTACTGAAATTAATTATGTGCATAATTTTTTCTTTTTTAATATTTTTTTATTTTATATGAAGTATTTGTACTAAAATTAATTTATGTATATTTTCTTCTTTTTTAATATTTTCTTTTATATTTTATATTAACGAAATAAATAGATAGAATTTCTTGTGAACAATTTTCATAATTCACTTATAGATTTATTGAAACGTGAAAATTCATTTCAAACGCCTGATATACATAAGCAACCAACGATAGCGGAAGTTGATGAAATGGAAAATGAAACATTAACTGGTATGAAAGGAATATCAATTAGTGTTCCCAAACAACAAAGGTAATTAGTATTATTTCTTAATTGTGGAAATCATTATTGTTTGATTTTCACTTTTACAATTTCAATTTATTAATTTTCTTATATATATATTTTTCATTTGTTTATTTTGTCTTCATTTCAGTTTTCCCAATCTTCCGACATTACCAGCAATTCAGGAAAAATTATGCTTAAATCCTACGAAACAACCTGCGACATCATGTTTCATTTCAGACTCAATGGGAAAGTACGTTTATTATTTATCTCAAATTGCAATTATCGGTTGTATTAAATGATTAAAAGTGAATGTGATAATTTTTAGAGTTAGGACACATTCATTGGAGCTTCATAAAGGTGAAGATATCCTGAGGAAACTTCCCGTTGGTACCGAAACAGCGCAGGTGTCATTTTTAATTGTTTATGAAAAGACTATTTGAAAAGAATTTTTGATGTTATTTTAGCACGATGTTTGATGATCGGTTTTGATTTTTACTTTTTCATCAAGATTTTGTCACATCGATTAAACCATCAAATGTCAATGAAATTTAATTGACGTCAAATTTATCAGTAAAATTGTAATGAAATCATACTTCAGATCTTTGTTGGTGTGATTCCAAATTTAACAAAAACATATTTCGTCATGCTTCGACTAAGTGAACCAGCAATGATGCCAGAAATTCTCGATGGTGAAATACCACTTCGTTTTGTCGTAGTAATTTTAGGACCAGGTCAACCGGATGTTAGTTATCATGAAGTGGGACGATCCATTGCAACACTAATGACAAATATGGTAATATGAATTTGTAAAATCCAATTTCAAAAATTTTCTCGAATGATTTAAATTGATATTTAGTAAGCTCGAAACTATTTTACCAAAAAGAATATCTCGAAATTTATTTTAAGGAATTTAATGCTGTTGCATATGAAGCAAATATACGTGAAGAACTGATCTGTGGTGTGGATAATTTTTTGGATGATTCCGTTGTTATTCCACCTGGTGAAATTGATAGTAAGCGTTTGTTGTCCGGTGATGAGATTCGAAAAGCATTAAATAAACGACGAAATCGAAGAAAAGTTACAACAGAAGAAAATTGTATGTTTCAGTTTATTTTGTTGGTTTTAAATTTCAAAATAATAATTTCCATTTTTCTTTTTTGTTAAATTTTTATTATTAAAAAATTATATAAATTAAATGCTTTTTGTTTCAGCTTTATCTCCAAAAAGTGAACAAAAAAATGATACTGATTTCAAAAGAAACTTCGAAAAAAGAGAAAAATGTCGATTTTTTGATGGAATGATTAGTGATTTTGAAAAACGATTCCCATATTACTGGTATGTAGAATTTCAAATTTTGAATTATTATATTCAACTGATAAATTTTTTTAGAAAAAAAAGAAGTCCACAAATATCCACGCTTTTTGGTAGTTTCCACAACGCCGTAATTTGTATCATTTGATTGCGTTTACTGTCTTTTGCAGTCATTTGGGGAATTTCTGCGGATCAACTTAAACTGATGATAATGTGCGCTCAGAATATGAATGAATATAAGGCGGAAACAGGAAAAGAGAGACAGCAGTCGCCACTGAATAAATTTTAGGTCCGATTATCGTGATGCGCTCAATTTTCAATGCCTTACAAGTGTCGTATTCATGTTTTGTGCCAGCTTCGCACCCGCAATTACATTTGGTGGTCTGTTAGGTATGTTTGTATGATATGATACATATATAGCTATCATCCAAAGATGTCGTTAATAAGCATTCTGCGGTAATAAAAGTTTAACTTTATGCTTTCTTCAAAAACTTTGGTTTTTTTTTTCAAGCTTTTAGCGACAAAAAAGAGAAAGATATAAACAAAGAAAGACGGATAAGTTTCAGGATAAATTTCATTATCCTCAAACTGATTGATCATTTTCAGGAAAATATACGAACGAAAAAATTGGAATACTTGAAACTCTGATGGCGCAATGCATTTGCGGTGTGCTTTGGGGAATATTCGCTGTTCAACCACTTATGATTATGAGTGCGACAGGCCCGGTTCTTGTTTTTGAAGTTAGTCTGTATGCGGTAAGTTATCTTTAAATTAGTAATTTCACATATTTTGATCATTAAATTTTTAAATTTTTATAGTTGTAGTTTAAATTAGTGCTGAAAATTGAAAGGAGTTTTCATTGTAATTTATCATAATTATTAATTATATAATTTTCCAGTTCTGTACTAATTTAAATATTGATTTTCTGACGGTTCGACTTTACGCTGGTTTATGGGTGTTACTGATCTCAGTCATTACTGTCGCAGTTGATGGATCGAGGATGTTACGTTATGTGACACGTTTCACCGAAGACATCTTTACTTCATTGATTTCAATGATTTTCATCGCAGAAAGTTTACGATTTGTTTATCAGGTACTCAAATGTAAATATTGATCACATTTTATAACAACAAAACATATTGATATATTTGTAAAAATCAGGTATCTAAAGCAAAATTAATTTACACCAAAATATGCGATACATTTAAAATGTAATTTTTTTCAATATCATTTTTCTTTTTGATTATCCTATCCTATCGTAAGAATTTAAAATTTTTTTTAACTTATCTAAAAATATTTTAAACATTTTGAACAATATTTTTACGTTTGAATTACGATCAAACTTTTTTTGTTGTTGTTCAGACATTCATTCGTAATCCGGTTGCAAATTTCGAATTTTATCGACTTATTCGTCAAGAATGCAAAATGGATGATATCAGCGATAAGAAAAATGATTCAGAGATGATAAGAATTTGTGATGGTGAACCAAATACAGCTTTATTAACTACCTGTATTATGATCTCTACATTTGCATTAGCATACGGATTAAGACAACTACGACAAAGCTATTATTTGGGAAGAACGGTTTGTTATTTTTAGCAATTGTTTAAAAGTATCATGTAGAATTATATTTGAAAAATTGAAAACTTTATTTATTCCATCAAAATTTTAGATCTCTTTTCTATTTCTATTTGAAAAAAAAAAACACAAACAAAAATTTTTAATTAATCTTTTTTTTAATTAAAAAAATAGTTTTTAGCTTCGACGTGCACTTGGTGATTTTGGTGTGCTAATTTCAATTGCGGTAGTTGCAAGTCTTGCACATTTATTAGTTCCAGATCCTTATTTACAGGTAATTATTATTTAATATCAAAAATTTAATTATTGTTAAAATTATATGAAAATTATATAAGCCTAATAGTACATTCATTTTAGCGTTTGGAAGTGCCGGATCATTTTAGCTTTACAAATATTGAAGCACGACGTCATGGCTTATTTGTTTCTGCGTATTTGCCATTGAATCAATTTTGGGTAATTATCGTATCACTAGTTGCAGCATTGCTCGTTTTTATACTTTTATTTGTTGAAACCGAAATTACCGAGTAAGTTTTTAATTTTTCTTACATCTAATAATAAATAGGTTAAAATTTCTAATTAATTTTGTTTTTATAATTTTAATTCAAAGTTATTTTAGATTATTGCTATCTCGTAAGGATCGTTGCTTAACGAAAGGAAGTGGTTTGCATTGGGATTTATTGCTAATGGGTGCATGCACTTTACTTTGCAGTATTTTTGGCTTACCATGGATGTGCGCTGCTACTGTACAATCACTTGCACATTGTAGTTCACTTTCTATCGCAAAAAAAACTGCACCCGGTGAACGACCCGGTATAGTTTCCGGATTGATCTTTTATAATGATTGTTTCAGCAAAAAAAGTGTAAGATTAATTCAATATTTTATGCATCTAAAAAGATAATTAATCCTTTTCGCATGATTTAAAACAAAAGGAAATTTTTTGACTGAAATTTTTCTTAATACGATATTCATTATTTATTTCATATAATTAATTCAATTACATTCTATTTTTTATCAATTTATTGTTTAGAAGGTATACAATACAATTTAAGGTTTAATTAAATTCATTATCAGTTTGTTATGATTTACATTTTGGTGTAATGGAATGCAAAATGTTATATTACAGGTGTAGATCATGTTCTTGAACAACGAGTTACAACAATTGGTGTATCATTGTTAATGGGATTATTTGCATTCGGTGGTTCATACCTACGACTTCCATTAGCATCTCTATTCGGTGTTTTCTTGTATTTAGGTGTTATGAATCTTACAGGTGTACAATTTGTTCAACGAATTATCCTTTTCTTTATACCAGAAAAATATTTTCCAAATACACCATATACAGAATCGGTAATTGTTTTTGATATATATTTTTGCTATTTTAATTTAATATTATTCAAATTCTTTTTACTAAAATTTATTCTCATCTCATATAGTATTATTTTGAATTTTAAATTCATCTCATTCTTTCAGGTTGACATTCGTCGAATGCATTTGTATACAACAATACAGATAATATGTCTAATTATCATTTATGCTGTGAAATATTTCAAACGAACAGCTCTTGCTTTTCCATTCATTTTAATGCTTTTTATCCTTTTACGACAACTTTTCCTTAAAAAAATTTTCACTGAAAAAGAACTTAAAGCGGTAAATTCTTTCTTTTCATAATTAACTTCATCATCGTTCCTTTTTTTCTTCTCATATTCAATAAAGAATATTCCTCATAACTCAGAACTCTCATATTCAATAAGGAATATCCCTCATAACTCAGAACTCTCATATTCAATAAGGAATATCCCTCATAACTCAGAACTCTCATATTCAATAAGGAATATTCCTCATAACTCAGAACTCTCATATTCAATAAGGAATTTTCCTCATAACTCAGAACTCTCATATTCAATAAAGAATATTCCTCATAACTCAGAACTCTCATATTCAATAAGGAATATTCCTCATAACTCAGAACTCTCATATTCAATAAGGAATATTCCTCATAACTCAGAACTCTCATATTCAATAAGGAATATTCCTCATAACTCAGAACATATTCAATATGGAATTTTCTTCATAACTCAGAACTCTCATATTCAATAAGGAATTCTCCTCATAATTTACAACTATCTTTTTGTTCTAAATTTAATTTTTTACATTCTTTTTAAATATGAAAATTTTACTATAATATTTTATACTATATCTTTTTTTTTTCCAGTTAGATGGAGATGATGAATCAAACAACGAAATTGGCTGGCTAGAGAAAGATTTCTTTGAAAATACTCCATTACCTGTATGAAAATAATATTTGACATGTGTGTTGAATAATATACCAATATTTTTATCATTTTTTATTCATACCATTATCACTTTTTTGCTATTATCATAAGTGTATTGTCATTATTCATATATTCATGTATTTGTTTAAAAAAGTAATCAATTTTCTTTTCCTACCTTTATTATGCATAACTGAAATAGATATCATAAAAATCTTATTATATTTCGTATTTATTGTACATTAAATGTAAATTTCATATTACATTATCCATTTCATGTAATTAATCTCATTACATTCCACTTTTTTCCCCACCTTTTCATTAACCGGTTTCCGCTATCATTTAATAAGCAATCATTTAATTTTTTGAAGATTTACCTGAATTCATTGCCGGTTTGCTGTAATGAATTATGTTTCAGTATCATGAAAACTTTTTTTTTTCTATCCTATAATGATAGATATATGTGGTACTTGAAAATTTAAAATATCATTTGAAAAATAAAAAATCAAAATTTTGCTGAAGTTACATTCCTAATTTTGATACATTCTCTTTTTCTTCGATATGAATGAATTTTTTTAATCGCTAAATTCCTATCATACACTTTAATATCACTTCTAGTGATATTAAAGTATCAATTATAAGCTCCATTATAAGCTCCATTATAAGCTCTATTAAAGCTTATAAGCTCTTTTCATAATTTACTGAAATTAGCATTTATGCCATATATTTATAAGCTTATACTATTCCATATATCCAATTGTATTTCATTTATACACGGGTATCAGTTAAAATAAAAGCTTTACGTAACTAATTATATTATCATTATATTATCATCATCATCAATGTAACTAATCATATCACCAATAAAATGTTGATTGCAATCACTTGTGATATCGTAAATGATTACTAAATTATGATTGATGAGAAAAAAAAAAGGAGATTGATGAGAAATTAGTTAAACTTTAAAATAATTATTTTTACATTACTGATGTATTTATTATATAACTTTCTTCTTCATTCTGTTATGTATTCTACGAAATAAATTTGCAACGAATTCTTTCTTTTTCTTTCAAATAAGATTGCAATGATTATATCAGAAATTTGTCAAAATATATCGAAAATCAGAATTTATAAATTTATGAAATGAGCTGTTTGAGATTCAAAGAAGAGTGTAAGAAATAAGGTGCTTCTACTAATTTCTGCATTTTTTCGACAATGTTGAAATATATTTGATGAATTTTTTTTCGCATGCTTTAATTTAATAAACTACTTTATATAAACTTTATACAGTACATTTTAATTTATACAATTTATGCAGTACATTTTAATTTGAAAAAAAAGATGAAATTATAAATAATAAATGATGAATTGATATTTTTTGATAATTTGAACAAATCAATGATCGAATATTATTAATTGAACGTTGAAAAAATGTTGAAAAGAATGTTGAAAAAACGTTGAAAAAACATTTATTACAATTTTGTATAAAAAGTAAAGGAAAAAAAAATTATCACAATTTCCAATGTTTAGGAAAAAATTTATTAAACTGTTAATTTCAGCAATATTATCATAATTGAATTTTTTCTGTTCAATTTAAAACTTTCTAAAAGCTTTCATCTCATATTTGCTCAGTAAAATCACAAGCAAATCTTTCTTGCAATAAATAGTATAATAACGAAGAACAAGAAGTCTATCAGTAAATCATTTTATTTGATAACAATGTTGAAATTCATATCATATTTCTTAAATTTCATAATCAGCATTTGGTTTTTTTTTCTACTTCTTGTTTTCTAATTATCTGTTGTAAAAAGAAAGCGCATGATTGTGTATTCATTGGAATGTAATAACCTGTGAGGAATGTAAGAACCTGTTTTACCTGTAATCAAGTTTGATATAAATGACTCGTTTTCGTTTTTTTTTTTCAGTCTAAGAATAATTTATTGTGAGCTAATAGCGAACTAGATTAGTTATTTTTTATTTAATTAACTTAATTACTATTTTTTGTCATACTATAAAATTAACTTGAAATTCGTTTAACATATCATTATTACTGGTTGTAAAGCTCCTTCACCAGGACGGTAGTTATGTAATTATATTAATTATTGCAATTATTATTATTGTCCTTTTCGTTTTTCCTATTGTTTGTTGTTACAATCGTTACAACTATTTATTATTATTGTTGTTATTGTTATCGTTGCTTTTTTGTTGTTGTTGTTTTTGTTATTACAACGAATACTGTTGTCGCTACTGATTTAATTAATATTGTAATTGTTATGAAATAATGCATTACTTATATAATCGTTTATATAACTATTACTATCTAACCTATATTAACCATTAAACGCAAATTTAAGAAGATAATTTTTAATAAACACAGAAATGACAAAAAAAGTGAAACAACAAGGAAAATAAATAAAGGATATCATTATTATTTATTAATTAATTATTAATAATTATTATTTTTAATTATTATTACTATTATTATTAATATTGTTCAACAATTCCTCCTACACTATTTTCCAAGCATTTCAATGATAAATATTTTGGAATGTTCATACATCATTTGTCATTTTAACTTTAAAATGGAATCTTGACATTAGAAATTGCTATTATTCAATCTTCCTACATTGTCATTAATACTCTTTCATAAATGGTTCTCATTATTAGCATTATTTTCCAATTAAAATTAAATCTTCAAGCAGTTGCAAAAATTTCTAAATTAGTTATGATACATTTGCTACGTTTTCAAACTTGTTACAATCAATAAAGTACGAAATTACGGCAATACAGCTATTTTATTAAAATACTTACCCTAGCAATAATGGAAGTTATTCTTATTTGTGAACTTCTGCAAAACCATTTTAATATCAGTTTTAAAATTTAAAATTTCAATTTTAAAAATTAATCAATGTGATAAGTTGTTACAGCGAACAATCAATGTAATTTCTTTTTCCCATTTAGAAAATATGCTTATTAAAGGGAGCAACCTTTAATGTATCTCGGAATTTCGGAAATATTTTTGACCTTTTGCAAAACCTTATAAAAAGGTCAAAAAAAAAAATTATGCAACGTGCAATAATAACAGGTAGCTCTAATTTTGCCACCCAGCACGTATCACCGATTAATTACGCTTATGGAATAAAACAAAATTTCAAGTAATTTCAAAAAAAAAAAAATATATTAATTATTATGGACCACAATACATTGTCATTAATCATTACTGTCATAGAATTTTATTGTTTGCAAGAATCAATCAATTATCCATTATCATTATCCTTTAAATAATAAATAATATTCCAATTTTATCATTCATTATCAATCATATCAATTAATATTATTTAATCTCACCTATAATATTATTCAAATAATCATCATCTTTTATTTGTTGATAGAAAGAAAACGATTAAATTAAATCAACAAATGAAAATTGAATGGAATAAAAAGAAGAGAAAATCTCTCTTTTAGTTTTATTCCAGTTTAATACTTTTTATGATATTAGTTTACATACACTACAGATATTTTCAATTCTCATTTCTTAACACTTTTTTAAATTGAAATTTAAATTAAAAGATTTAAATAAGGTAAATTCTTTCGTTTCATTATTTCATATTTGCTAAGATAAAAAAGAAATCCTACGATAATATTTTCTTGATTGTAAATGAATTTTTCATATTCTCTAAATTATAGATTTGAAATTTGATGAAAAATTTTATAAGATATCTTCTGACAGATGAGAATGTTTATTAGGAGGAAATTAAAAGGAAAGAAAAAGCAGGTAAAACAACAACAAAAATCGAATAAAACATTTACAACAGATATATAATATAAAATAATAAAATAAAAAACTTTTTTTATGAAATATTTTTTTTAAAAACAAAAAAGAGAAATATGTAAATAAATAATTGTATTTATGAAGTTTGCAAATGCCGTGATAGAGTAAATGGCGGTAGCGTTCCACTTGCGTGAGCAGTTTAGTTCCGCAAGAATTTCATCGTCGTCGACAAACATTACCGCTTTACATTTTGCCACTGTTATCATCACCGTCTCTTTCCTTCTTCACATTTTACACCGCATCATTTTCGTCACCTCCGCTCTCCGCCCAACCGTCTATCTCAACTACCTCTTCTCCGCTTTTCCTGTCCTCATTTCCGTCTTATTCCTTCTAACTTTTTACTCTATCATTTTTCCTATATGATATTTCACATAAAAGTTTTGCAAAAGCTATTGTCAACTTTTTTTACAATAGCATTCAAAATTCCTTTTCATCTTCGCCTCTCGAAATAGCGATTTAAAAATTCCTTTTTTTTTAAAAAAAAATTAACACCATTTAATTTATTGATCTTTTCCGTTATTTTATGATGATTACAGTGAAATTTGCTGTCAATTACATCATCCCACTCATTACTTTGACAATTGTAATTAATAATTTAATATTGTCGAAAATTTAAAGAGTGAAATTTTAATGATCGATGATGATGATACGTATAAAATTAGGTTTTAATTTTAGGATTGATAATAAAATAAGGTATATCAAAATTGTAATCTTATCAATAATCCTTAATTTTAAGATTGATAATAAAATGTGGTATATCAAAATTATAAGCTTATCAATGATAATAGTTTATTTACAGTAGTCAATAGCCTATATTGATATTACTTTCCTATACACAGTAAAGTATATATCAGATAGATTAATGAGATATATATGTAAATATATTGGAAAAATTCCGAATAAATATTTCATAATAGATATCTCTTTAAAATTCTTCTTTTCTTTTTCCGGATTATAGATGTTTCTCAATTATAAAATTTCGAATGAATATTTATAATTTAAATAATGAAATAATAGCTAAAGAATAAGTCATATGTAAAAATTTAAAATCAATCCGGCGGTTTATTGAAAGATTTCGCTGTCCTTGATAGAACCATCGACCTCTTCTTCGTCTTCTTCTTCTTCGCCTTCGTCATTGTTGTCGTTTCATCCCGTATCGCGAGAATTCGTTGATTGTCATTGTTGTTTCACTAAATAGCTCTATCAATGCGCACGCATCTATCTTGTTGTACTCTCTTAGATGGATTAGTCTTTTGCAACATTAATATATCTTTTAGCCAGTCTTTAAATTCTCTAATATTTCGTACTTTTTCAAATTGATAGAATGAAGAAGTAAAGTTTGGCCTTGAATTCAATCATTTCACTATTTTCATTATCATCCACTCAAATCTTTTATTCTTACATCACAACTTTTCGAGATTTTTCACATGTTATCATCATTTACTAATTTTTTTATTGTTTAATTTTATAATTATCATTTTGTAGAATTTGATAGAAATATTATCCATCCATTTTATCAATCTCAATCCGTTTTAATTTTAATCTAAAAAGATTTCTGAAATTTCAAAATTTTTCAAATATTTCATTATTTTTTTATTCTTGATTAAAAATCATTTGTATTTATATCCGAAAAAAGTTTTCATTAAAATCTAAAATAAGCTTAATCAATGGATAATCTTCTTTGTTCGTTAGTTTCAACGCGATTTTCATATTACACAACGACTGATAAATTCTATTAATATGCGAAAGATACGAAAATTATCAAACAAGTTTTGTTTGCAATTTCATCATTAATCGTTTAATAATCTAAATAAGGAATAATTAGAAATGTTTCACTTTTTGTTGTTGTTGTTGTTGTTGTTGTTGAATTTTCATCATTTTCTTGAAATTTTGATATTATTTCTTTTTCATATATCTCAATTGAATAAAATTCTATGATACGATTATTATTTTAATTTCAAACTTTTTTGTTGAATATATCAAATTTGCAATTATTTTCTAATTTAATTTAATTTTAATTAACTAAATTAATGAATTGTTTTCTTTTCGAATTACTACAACGATTGCTTTTACAGTATATTTCATACTCAATGATTTGTTTTCTTTTCGAATTACCACAAATTTTTTTGCTTTTATAGTATATTTCATGCTCTGTGATACAGTTTTGGAATAGTTTTTTTTGTTAATTCATTAATGAAAAAACAAAAGAACTTAATTTGCAAAAGTTTCATATAATATCTTTTAATTTTCATCAATTAAAATCTTACATTTTAAAATACTTAATTTACTTACTTTATACTTATTTTACAATACTTAATTTACTAAAATTGTAGATTTTACAATATTTAATTCACTTAATTTGTATTTATTTTACATACAGTACTTAATTTACTTAATTTATATTTTACATACGGTAATTTACTTAATTTATATTTATTTTACAATACTTAATTTATATATTTAATACTTAATTAATTTTTGAAAAAAGAAGATTATCACTATTTTGATATTTATTATCTTTTTCTTCAATTTAATTGATAGCAAAAAAAAAGAATTGAAAGAATTAAAAAAGTTCAAAATTTGGAAATTTAAATTTTTTTAAAAAATGAAATTATAAGCCATTAAAAAAATTGGCGTTAATCCTTTCATCTTTTAGTTTAAAAAAAAATTTAAATAAAATTTATCGTAATTTTCTGATAAGTATTTTCGAGAAATGAAGAGGGAAGCAAAAAGCAATCTAATGGTAATTTTAGCAAATATTTCTGTCCCATAGAATTTTCAACAAAAAAAATTCCATCGGCAGCTTTTAAGCTTTTGCTTTTATTACTTTTTCATCTTCCGACCAGATTTATCATTTTTCCCTAACTTCTTCTTCTTCTTTGTCTTTCTTCTTTCTTCTTTTCACCTATCACCTTTTTTTTGTTTACAAATTAATTAGTTAAATTTTGTGAAATTAAAGTTTTACTGTAATAGAAAACGTTTTTTTTTTTAGTAATTAATTTCTTACTAATTTTGGCTTTTGCAAATAAATTTAAATATTGGAAAAATATTATTATTGGAGGAAAAAAATATTATTGAATTTAACTAGTAGGTTAAGATTTTTCAATTATTATTATTATTATTATCATTATCATTATTATTAGTAATAGTAGTATTATCATCATTACTATTGTAATAATAATAATTATTATTACTTTTTTTAAAAGATGTGAAATGTGCAAGTTATTTTGCCTACAGATTTAGTTGAAGATTAAAATAACTGCTTGAATAATTGATTAATTGTGTCCATGCATTTTATTATTAAAAATATGAAATGAATTCTAAAAATTTTTTTGCCAAAAATTAAAACTATAATAACTGTATTCAGAATATGAAATTTTTCATTCCATATAAATAAGCCTTGGCTGTTCAAATAAGCTAAAAGTACATTTAGTTTTTTCAAGTTCCAATTTGGTGAATGATTCATAGAACTAATTAATTATATTTAAACCTAAAAACAAGGAGAAATTGAAGTGGATTTTCGGAAAAAGTTTATTATCATGTTTCAATAAAAAATAAACTCTATTACTTATAAATTATTTTCTATAATTTTTTGTTAGTAAATCGATATGTTTTGCAGTTTTAAATCGTTTGTTTAATGAAAAACCAAATGATATGGTAACCATATCACTCTTATCAGTTGGGAAAATTAAATCCATTTGATAGCATGTAGAATTGTATATCGGCTTACTTACAACAGTTAAACTTCCAGATCACAAATAATAATAAACACTAATAAATAATAATTAATAATAATAATAATAATAATCTTTTCCTAACAAAACATTCATCTTCTGGATGGTTAACAGTACTGTTAACATTTTCTTTGATATAAGCTATCTAATTTCAATTCCTTTTCATTAATCATCCTTTCTTTCTTTTATAAGACACATTTTTTCTCGCTGTTATTGAGCATTGATTAATTTTATCATTAAGCTGATATAATTGTTAGAAGATCAAACGTTACTCTTATCAGTGTTTGAAGTAAGATTTCAATAAATATATCAGCAATTTCCCTTTTTTGTTTCACACTGATCACTTTTGGATGATTAATTTAGTTTGTGATTTTATTGAACTTTAAAGTTCAGGGAAAAATTACCATTCCATTAAATATCATCATTTATAAATTGAAATTTCGAATTTATTAAATTGACATTATTATTTTTTTCTCTACAACACTATAGGAATAATTGTTGACAAAAATGATTATGCATGTTCAAAAATTGACAATTTTTTTCTTCAATGTAAAATTTGATCAGGTCAACCAACACTGAACTCGATCATCATCAATTTTGTTTAAGAAAATCTAGCAAAGCTATTGAAAGAAAAATTCAGATATATCATATCAGTGGGAAGAACAAATGATAATTAACAATTTTTAAAAACTTTTCATTATCAGCAACTATTATTTTCATCATCAAAGAAATTTGCAACAATTTTAACATTTTTGTTTTCAAATAATTTACATAAAATAAAGCATAAAGATTAAAAAATTAGAAGTTGAAATTGAAAATTGAAAATAATTTTGTTGATGCAAAAATGTTTATGCGATTGTTTTATTGATTTGAAATTTTTTCCATTAAATATTATATTTATCTTCAACATTAATCATTTCGATATATCCTAACTTAACCATTCTAAATTTTTTGTTTACCGATAAATATTTACTGTTGTCTTGTATCGTTATTTGTATTTTCTGAAGAATACAAACAATTGTTAATATTGTTTACAAATAAAACATTATTTACAATTGCTTGTATTCTTCGGAAAATACAAAGAAGTCTTCGCTTATTGATTTTACTTCACATAAAATGATTTCGTGAAAAGTATATTATTAATTGAAAAGAAATAATTCTTTATAAATTTTCAAAATGAATTTTTTTTAAAATGATCATTGAAATTTAAATGAAAATTTCATAATCATAAAATGACATGATATTAGTTTGTTTTTAATTAATTTAAAATAAAAGAGTATAAATTTTACCTTCCTACCGGAAGTTCACTTTCTATTCAAGTTATTTCCATCAAAACATTTAATTTTATTAAAGCAAAATTTCGATTTTTTGCCCGAACGAATACCGAATTATTTTTCGTTGTTTTGTTCTTTTTAATAAAACAAGTTTTTTAAAATATTTTACTGAAATATGGAATTTAAAATTTCATCATCATCATCATCATCATCATCATCATCATCATCATCATCATCATCATCATCATCATCATCATCATCATCATCATCATCATCATCATCATCATCATCATCATCATCATCATCATCATCATCAT